CTCCCGAGCACCCTAGCATTTACTTCTTTTACAACCCCATCTATAAATATATTGAACAACCATGGTGACATTACACATCCCTGTCTAAGACCTACTTTTACTGGGAAGTAGTCTCCCTCTCTTCTACACACCCTAACCTGAGCCTCATTATCCTCATAAAAACTCTTTACAGCATTTAGTAACTTACCACCTATTCCATATACTTACATCATCTGCCACATTGCTCCCCTATCCACTCTATCATATGCCTTTTCTAAATCCATAAATGCAATAAAAACTTCCCTACCTTTATCTAAATACTGTTCACATATATGCCTCAATGTAAACACTTGATCTACACATCCCCTACCCAATCTGAAACCTCCTTGCTCATCTGCAATCCTACATTCTGTCTTACCTCTAATTCTTTCAATTATAACCCTACTGTACACTTTTCCTTGTATACTCAGTAAACTTATTCCTCTATAATTTTTACAATCTCTTTTGTCCCCCTTCCCTTTATATAAAGGGACTATACATGCTCTCCGCCAATCCCTAGGTACCTTCCCCTCTTTCATACATTTATTAAACAAAAATACCAACCACTCCAACACTATAACACCCCCTGCTTTTAACATTTCTGTCATGATCCCGTCAGTTCTCAGACAAAACCAGGCCTGACAGAAACGACAGGTTATATAAGATTAGGAATGTGTTTGTGTATCCGAAAGAGGAATTCAGTATGTATTTTTATCCCTTCAGGAAGCTTGTTATTAATGAGTCTTTGATTCTGTTCAAAGGAAGACTCTCATTGAAGCAGTATATACCAAGCAAGAGGAAACGCTTTGGTATAAAATTATTTGTGCTTTGTGACTGCTACAGTGGTCTTGTATTGGATATTATTGTGTACACTGGAAGTTATACATTGCAAAATACCAGGAAGTTATTGGGCATCTCTGGTGATGTGGTTAGAACAATGATTGAACCATATCTTGGTAAGGGGCATATATTATATACTGATAACCGGTACACAAGCCCCTCACTCAGTGATTTTTTTGCGAGTGAACATGACAGATGTGTGTGGCACAGTGTGTGGAAATCGTAAGCATATGCCCAGGTTTGACGCTGGCACTCGTAGAGGTGAGGTGCAGGCGTTTGCTGCCAATGACATCATGGCATTTTGGTGGCATGACAAACGAGATGTCACACTGTTGTCATCAGTTCACCCTAATGAAATGACAAACACTGGCAGGCAGAATAGAGAGACCAATGAACTCATTCTAAAACCTGTAGCTGTGATTGATTACACATTCAATATACATTCAGTGGACAAATGTGACATGCAGATTGGGTTTGCTGATTGTGTTCGCAAGAGTTATAAGTGGTACATAAAACTCTTTTTCCATTTTCTGGACATTTCCATGCTCAATGCTTATAATATGTATAAGATGAGAACCAGAAACAAACCACCATATGGCGAATTTTGTTTGTCTGTCATCAGACAAATAGTATTCGAGTACCAAGGAACAACACCTGCAATAGAAAACCGCCCACTAAATTATCAATAACTACCTTCTCGTCTGAAGCATGGTAATCACTTCCTAATACAACTACCTGCTGCTGCTTTCAAGAGAAAGGCTCAGAAGAGGTGTTACGTCTGTGCACATCCAAAAAAACGCCCACAGCAACGCAGAGAAACTCGTTTTATGTGTGAGGAGTGTAAAACACCACTGTGCATGACACCATGTTTCAAAGAGTTCCACAGGCTGCAGAACTTCTAGAAACATGTCCTGTGACTGTATATGTGTATATAAAATACAGAAAAATAGTAATAAACAACATTTTATATCGTTCGTTTGTGTAAATAAGTTTTGTAAACAATATAGAGACAACAGTGTTTGTGCAGTTATTGTGTATTAAATAAAGAGAAAAAACTTACAGAATAGTGCTCATATTGGTCTCACAGGCCATAAAAGTTACTTGAAAAAAAAAATTAAAAAAATAATAGAAAAAAGTAGAAAAATGTAAATAAAAAGTACCGGGTGACCGGCAGTCGGCGATGATGCCACATGTGGCTCATTTTCTGTCAACTTCACACCTCCATATCTCGGTAAGTATTGATGGCAAAAAAAAAATTTTTTAGCCTCTAATGTTTAGAAAATAAAAAACTATCTTTTCATAAGAAATTTTTTTTTTTTTTTTTTTTTTTTTTTTTTTTTTTTTTGAAAATTTCTTGACCCTGAGAACAAGTCTGGGAGAGGGCCTGTTGACCCTGAAAAAGTTAAAAGAAAGAACAGCATGTGTGTGTTTGGAAAATCTGTGTCAAGATTGGTAAAATGGTTAGTGAAACTCACTAGCATTTGGCGTTTACAAAGCAATGGGCCTGACACAATATTTGGAATGATTTTTCTTGATTCCAAGCAGGATAAATGTCATTTAAGGATGCTGAACACTCTGGTCATCCATCAACATCAAAAACAGATGTCAACATTAAAAAAGTGAGGATGGCTAGTCATAAAGATCGTCGTCTAAGTATTCAGGACATTGCGAGTGTTGTGGGAATTTCTTATGGGTCGTGTCAAAGCATTTTGACTGAGATTTAAACAAGAGGAGAGTGGCTGTGAAATTTGTGCCCACTTACTGATTCAAGACCAGAAAGGTCATCGTTTTCTTACCATAAATAATATGGCAGTTATCCCCTACCCTCCCTACCCAGATCTAGCCCCCTGTGATTTCTTACATTTCCTAAAAATAAAAATGGCACTCAAGGAGCAGTATTTCAATGACATGGAGGAGATTCAAGCAGAATTGCAGGCAGTCCAAAATGCCATTAGGAAAGAACAGTTCCAGAAATGTTTCAAGAAGTGACAGAGGTACTGGGATCAGTGTATAGCCTCCCAAGAAGAGCATTTTAAGGAAGACAACTTCAGCTAGTGAATAGGTAAGCCTGTATATTTTTTTCATGACAGTTTGGTATCTTTTTGGCATCACATCATATTAATTACTTGTATAAATGCATAATCATCAGCCAAGAGCTTCCTATAATACTTCTCATCTTATTACAACTCTTGAAGCCATAATAAAAATAATCCTGTAATAGAGATGAGTAGAATGACTAACAGTTGCCCTCATTTCTGTATTTTTTTTATATACTGGCCATCTCCCACCAAGGCTAGGGTAATACAAAGAAAGGAAACACATTCACCATCATTTATTCAATGGCTTTCTTGCCAGAAGTGCATAAACATCACAATTCAAATGACCATCTGAACTGCAACATCCTCAACCTTCCTTCAAAGTGCAGGCACTGTACTTTCCACTTCCAGGACTTGAATTTGGCTAGCCAGTTTCTATGAATTCCTTCATAAATGTTACCTTGCTCACACCAACATCATTTCAAGCTCTACTTTGATCTAACAAGTTCACACATTGCCTACATGATGCTTAACCCTTTCAGGGTCCGTCCCGTAGATCTACGGCTTTATGTTCAGGGTCCAAACCGTAGATCTACGCCATGAGCTCAGCTCACTCTGATAAACTGTGAGTGGTACATTTGGGCATAGATATGAGAGAATACTCTATGTGGTATGTGTGCACCACATAAAACAGATCCTGCAGCACACTGTGTATAATGAGAGAAAAAAAATGAAATCATGATTTTTCGATAAAACAGCAACTTTGCATGTGTTTTTTCGTATGTTTTTTATAGTTGTATTTGCGATTTTCTTGGTCTCATTTGATAGAATGGAAGACATATTACAGAAATAGAGATGATTTTGATTGGTTTTAGCATTGGAAATGGCTTGAAACTGAGCTCAAAGTAGCGGAAATGTTAAATTTTTGCCGATATTCAAGAGTAAACAAACGACCTACACACATCTAATACACGTCAGCTGGTGGGTCTAATATGACATTCACAAATATGGTGATGATATTTATACTATTATTACAGTATTGCATAAGAGTAAATCTTCTATTTTTTGGTGTGAATAAAAATTCATTATGTGAATAAAAAATCAAAATGGAATTTATTTGTAAAGCCTCAAAAACATAACTAATGAACAGAAAGAAATGTTAGTTTAGTGCCAGGAATGCTACATTGTTCATTCTGGACCTATTTTGAAATTGGAATATTTTGAACTTTGTGTTAAATTGGCCAATTAACAATTTCCGATCACTTTATTTTGTAGTTGAAACAGTTGACTTGGCGATTTCTTGTGCTCAATCGACTAGAATAGAAGTAATACTAGTGAAATAGCTAGAATTTGGTTGATTGGAATAATGTAATTGGCCTAAAATGGGAGTCAAAGTCGGCAAAATCGCCGATTCGTAAATATCGCTGACACATCAAAATTCGCGAGAGCATAATTTCGTCAATTTTCCACCAAATTTCGTACTTTTTGTTTTATTACCTTCACAAAAAGATTCTCTACGATTTCATAAGAAAAAATAACAAATTTTTTTTTTTAAAATTCTTGGACACTGGTGCGTGACTCCAGATTTGGGCCTTGGACCCTGAAAGGGTTAAGTCCTGAGCATTCAAAACTTTCACCCCCCTCCCTCCAACTTTTTGTTGGGATAACCCTCTCCCCTAGTTCCTTCCACCCTAGATGTATACACACCTTTTTGGTCATCCTATCTCTTCCATCTTCTCTGAATGCCTAGGCCTCCTCAACAACCCTCCACATCCCTTGTTGCAGTAAGTTGAACTGTTAGGCTTCACAGTAGGTTGAACTGTTACACTTCTTAGTAAATTGAGCTGTACTTTCCTGCAAACTGTCTTTTGTGAACCACTCTCCTGGGTGGTAAACCTTCATTATTTTATGTAAGTAGTATTTAAATATTTTAATGCAAAAACTGTTTACATAGTTTTTATATCAGTGGCTTGCCATGGGTTTGAACCCCACTCTGTTCAATGATTTATATCAGTGGTGTTTGTATATTTTTATATTTTTGTGTTTATAACTTTTCATATACTACATGTATGGTGTAATTGGCATAGGGATAATTTTTTCTTGCAGTCAGCTGAAGATGCAGAGTATGAACTACAACAAAAAATAGCTATGCTGAAGGAGGAAGTAACAAGCCTTCGAGAAGATCTGCATGATCAAGGAGTGCGTGAAGAAAGAGAAACTCTAGCAATTGTCCGTGCTGAACGTGAAGCTCGTACTCTCTCTGCTCGGACCACTGCACTACAGGAACAGCTTACAGTCACTGAGGAAAAAGTTGCAGCAGAGAAATCAAGAAAAGAAGCTTTGCAAAATGAACTTGGTAAATTTAGAGGAGAAAATTTAATGCCTTATTTATGTCTGGCAGTTACATTATGTTTTCTATCTTACTAAATGGACAGAATAGATTTTTCAAGCATCAGAATAGATTCATCAATTTTCAAGTTTGAGCTAGAATATATCTGATAACTTGTAACTCAGGTTAAAAAACCATTGGGATTAAGTATTGGTAAGGCAAGCATCATTATGTTAAGTAAATGGACACTTGCAGCTAATAAGACATTTGTAGTGGCTAATTTTTCATCCCTACATGTACTCCAACACATTTCTCCAGCTCATTTGCTTTAAATGATCATACACTGAAATTAATACTACAGTGGACCCCCGACATTCGATATTAATCCGTTCCTGAGAGCTCATCGAATGTCGAAAATATTCAAAGTCGAATTAATTTTCCCCATAAGAAATAATGGAAATCAAATTAATCCGTGCAAGACACCGAAAAGTATGAAAAAAAAATTTTAGCACATGAAATATTAAGTTTAACCCTTAGACTGTCGCGGTCGTATATATACGTCATAGGAGATACCGTGTTTGACGTATCTATACGCATAAATTCTAGCGGCTTCAAATCAAGCAGGAGAAAGCTGGTAGGCCCACATGTGAGAGAATGGGTCTCCATGGTCAGTGTGCACCATATAAAAAAAATCGGGGAGCCAGTGGTGCATTGTGGGAATACCATTTCAGTCATCCTTTTTCAGCATGTCTAGCGGTAAGAAATATGGGACTCCCCAGCAAATCTGGGACTCTTCTCTTCAAAAGCGATGCTCTAACACAGATGGAAGTGTCACTGAAGATCAATTTCATGATTTCGAGGAGTTTTGAGACCAAAAGCAATTTGGGGGAGGAGGAGGAGGAAGAAGGAGGAGGAAGGAAGGAGGAACTGGAAGGAAGGAGGAAGAGGGAAAGGGAAAGGGGGGAGGGAGGAGGAAGAGGGAGGAGGAGGAGGGAGGGAGGAGCAGAAGGAGGGAGGTGAGGGGGAGGAGGAGGAAGGAGGGGGAAGGGAGGGAGGTGGAGGGAGGAGGAGGAAGGAGGAGGAAGGAGGGGGGAGGAGGGAGGAGGAGGAAGGAGGAAAAAGAAGAAGAAGAAGAAGAAGAAGAAGAAGAAGAAGAAGACGAAGAGGAGGAAGAATAGGAAGAAGAGGAGGAAGAAGAAGAAGAATAATAATACCTAATAAAAATAAATAATGTAATAATATGTTCCCTTGAGGCACGAAAAGAGTTCACCCCATGACAGTGACAAGATAAGGGGAGATAACATCTGATAAGAGCTGACCTTTGATGAGCGTAAACGAGGGTGGAGGGAGGGGGGCAGCTGTCTATCTGTCAAGAGCCAGGAGGAGGAGAAGGAGGAGAAGAAGGAGGAGAAGAAGGAGAGGGAAGGAGAAGAAGGGGGAGAAGAAGGAGGAGAAGAAGGAGAAGAAGGAGGAGGAGAAGGGAAAGGAGGAGAAGGAGAAGAGGGAGGAGGAGAAGAGGAGGAGGAGGAGAAGGAGAAGGAGAAGGAGGAGGAGAAGGAGGAGGAGGAGGAAGACGACAAGAACAAACATTTTTCTGTCTGTCTATTTGTCTGTCTACCAAGCTCCCTGTCTATCCGTCAGCTCTGTCTCAGAGAGAGCCACAAGACTGTGTCATCATCACGTTACTCAATCTTCAAGCAGAGTATAGCACTTTGTCTGGATTTTTGGGTTATCTAGGTAATTTACATATGTATACAGTGGACCCCCGCATAACGATATTAATCCGTTCATGAGAGCTCATTGTTATGCGAAATTATCGTTTGCGAATGAATTTTCCCCATAAGAAATAATGGAAATCAAATTAATTTCCCGGGAGACACCCAAAAAATATGAAAAAAAATTTTTACCACATGAAATATACATTTTCCTACACAAAGAAAAAGGATCATGCGCAATAGTAGGTAGTACATGCACAGTATATATTGTGCATGTACTACTCTACTAAATGAAGAATAAATGGACACTTACCTTTTTTGAAGATGCAGCAATGACGATGAGACAGTCTGCCTGGGAGTGCCTTTTCCTCCTGAGTCTGTAGGTCCTGTTTGGCATTTTCTTCCAGAAAAAGGCCTTATCACACTGTGTATGCCATTACGATTCTTAAATCTTTTCAAACCAACCTTTGCTGGCTTTAAATTCACTAATATGAGCACTAGTTCCAGGCGTTTTTCCCTGTTCACCTGGGTGTTAGTCGACTGGAGTGGGTTGCATCCTGGGAGACAAGATTAAGGACCCCAATGGAAATAAGTTAGGGAGTCCTCGATGATGCACTGACTTTCTTGGGTTATCCTGGGTGGCTAACCCTCCAGGGTTAATCGTTTCTCGGTAATTGTTTCACGTTAAGCCACATCAACAGCACACTCTCCACATCTTCAAGTAATACAGCTGATGGTGGTGCAGCAACAACAACAGCTGTGGTGCAGCTGTGGTGCAGCAGCAGCTGACTGTGGTACGATAGTATTACACCCTTTTTTACCACAGGGTTGGCACTAGAAGTTTTTCTTTGGGCCCATGGTGGCTTATTTAGCATTTACAAGCACTATAAATAATCGAAAATACAAAATGCATCGAATGTATGCATGCAACCGGCCACCCTGGCTTGTAAACAATGACGGCAAGGCAGGCGCTCAGGCTGGGACAGACAGGTTCGGGAGGAGAGTCATGTTCAGAAACAGCTGATGGTGCAACAGCAGCTGACCGTGGTGCAGCAGCAGCTGACTGGTCCAGCAACAGCTGACTAAATCCAGCAACAGCTGACTGATCCAGCAACAGCAGACTGGTCCAGCAACAGCTGACTGGTCCAGCAACAGCGGGACTGGCCCCAGCAACAGCTGACTGGTCCAGCAACAGCTGACTGGTCCAGCAACAGCTAACTGGTCCAGCAACAGCTGACTGGTCCAGCAACAGCTGACTGATCAGCAACAGCTGACTGATCCAGCAACAGCTGACTGGTCCAGCAACAGTTGACTGATCCAGAAACAGCGACTGATCCAGCAACAGCTGACTGGTCCAGCAACAGCTGACTGATCCAGCAACAGCTAAACTGATCCAGCAAACAGCTGATCGTGGTGCAGCAGCAGCTAACTGATCCAGCAACAGCTGACTGGCCCATCAACAGCTGACTGGTCCAGCAACAGCTGATTGTGGTGCAGCAGCAGCGGACTGATCCAGTACAGCTGACTGGCCCAACAACAGCTGATCGTGGTGCAGAAGCAGCTGACTGATCCAGCAACAGCTGAACTGGTCCAGCAAGCTGATCGAGGTGCAACAGCAGCTGACAGATCCAGCAACAGCTGACTGTTCAAGCAACAGCTCACCGTGGTGCAGCAGCAGCTGACTGTGGTATGATAGTATTTCTCACCCTTTTTACCACTGGGTTAGCACTAGAGGCTTTTTGGGGCCCATGGTCACATATTTTGCAGATGAAATAAACCAAAAACGCTGTAATACGAAATGTTCCGATTGTATGCTTGGATGTTACCGCGGAGGCTGGCTTGTAAACAATGCCACCGGCGGAACATGTGAAGCTGGCTCAGGCTGCACATTAGAAGCGTCTCGGAAGAATAGCATTGAGCGAGTTTTTTAGCGGTATGCGAGGCAAAATTTTAGTGATAAAATGTATTGGTATGCGGATTTAACGTTATGTGATGCCAACGGTATGCGGGGGTCCACTGTACTTGTACAGCAGGGCCCCGCTTTACGGCGTTTCACTTTACGGCATTCCACTTATACGGTCATTTCAAATTATGACCAAATCTCGCTATACGGCTCCCCCACCTGACTTTCTAATACGGTCACCGCGCCCCACCCTGTTTGTTTACATTCTTCGTGAGCTCAGTAAGCACTAAGTCTCTCCATTTTGTCTGGAAACTCCAAAATTTCAAATGTTTTTAAAAGTTATTTCATATTTTATATATACTCTGATAATTATACTTATGTATACCTGTACTTGAACATTAAACATACCTGTACTTAAATAAACTTACATACTGTGCTGGCATGCAGGTACACATTAAAATCAGTAAGAGTGTCTTATGTCTCCAACGCATATTAGTAATGATAATAATAATCATCGAGTCTCATTTAAATGTCATATATTACGTTAAATACACATTTTCATTAATCCATCTATGATAGTTTTTCAAAATTATATAATAAACACAATACATAACATAAAAAGATGATAAATACACCCCACAATAGAATAAACATAAATATGAGATGTGGTAGCAGGACGACTTGCACAAGTGACGCCAAAATTAGAAAATGATAATAATAATAATAATAATCACCGAGGGCTCATTAAATGTTGTATATTACGTTAATATACACATTTCATTTTAAAATATCCATGATATTTTTTTTTCAAAATTGTATAATAAACACGATACATAACATAAAAAGATGATAAATACACCCCACATAGAATAAATAAACATAAATATGAGATGTGGGAGCCAGATAACTTTGTACAAGTGATGCCAAGAATAACATTTTCTCTAATCTAACAAAGAGAAAATGTGTTTACTGGGGGTAACTGTAGAAAATTATTCCTTTCGTATGTAAAGTAAGTTTATTCAGGTATACACAAATACAGTTACATTAGATTATCATACATAACAACATATGTGTAGAGAACCTAGGATAACCCAAAAAAGTCCCAAATGACTTATTTCCCATTGCCTTCACTCAGAGCATCATTTCTTCTCAAAATGATGTTACATGAGAATGGAGTGTTCTTCTTTATTCATTCTACCGTATCAATGTAGAGACAACCTGTACACAAGTAACTTGTACACAAACCAAACGTGTACACTTTGTTTACAAAACTTACCTTCGCCTGGTTTGTTTACATAACTCTGCGCCTGTACTCTCTCATGCACTCATTCTTTCTCTCTCTCATTTATTCGTTTTATCTCATTTACTTACTCCTGACCCTACATTAAGACTACAATTATTTTAAGGTA